GCGTAGTATGGTTCCGGTTGCCGGAAGAGAAACTGACGTTTCACTTCATTCGGATCACCCACAGACATTGAGAGGATCTGCAAGTTTGGAGCTCATTCTTGAGAAGGTACAACGGTCAATATTGCTGGCTGTGCCTGGCAGTGTCCAATATGGATTTGGAGTTGTACACCGACGCGTCCGGGGCAGTGGGCTTTGGGGCCTACTTTCAAAGATGATGGTGCACGGAGGCCTGGTCCCACCACTGGCTGGTGACCAAATTGGGAGGTAACCTAACATTCCTGGAGCTCTTTCCCATTGTCATGGTGGTGGAACTTTGGGGTTCAGAACTGGCAAGCCGGAAGGTGGTGGTGCACATGGACAACATGAGTGTCGGTGGCGACGGTCGGTGGACCTGATGCACGCAATGCGGCATGACGTGGACCTGTTGTGTTGTTCAGGGACCTGACCCTCGTCTGGTCCGAGATTGTGCCTCGCACGGTTTGGCAAACCGAGGGAAAGGGTACGGCCCTAGAGTGCTATAGACGGAAGGTCAATATGACCATGGCCCGGTTCGTGTGCCGCCTGGGTGGTATAGTAGTAAGGCACATTGAATTGGAAGGGGACAATGATGCACTAATGAGGCGAGATGGTGTGCACTTGTCCCCCATTGGGTTGGACATCTTTAACATGGGCCTGCAAGCAGGAATTGAGGAAGCGCTGTCGGCAGGGGGGGGGCGATGCCCGCGCAGTGTACTGCGCGAGGAGGGGCATCGCGGTGGTGGTTTCCCTGGACAGCGCAGAGGAAGAAAGGGCATTGGGGAGACGACAGCCGGCACGGTGCTGATGGCGAGGAGCTGGCTGTCGAGGCTCATGGTACCGAATGTGTGTGAGAACTGCCTGTTGGGCAAACACCCAACAGCTGGCAGATTTGGACTGAATTAAATTGTTGAATAAGGTGTCTCGTGTGTTATTGGGGGGCAACGGGTTGGGATGTATTATGGGGCAATAACATGTAGGATAGATGAGCTATAATATCTATTAAAGGACTAATGGTTGAGGGAGAATGATAAATTGGGGATGAAGAAAAGGTAGATTATATGTAAGTTTTAATGGTAGCTGTGTGATAAACCAGAGGGAGAATTGGAAGAGAGGAACAAAACATGAGGATATTCATAGAGAACTGGGGTTGAAAAAATACACACAGCTCCATAACACTCCACAGGAATGCACCACACACTGCTCTATTGCATAAATACATCCTCACATTCTCACAAACACAATGTCTCACTTCATACATACACCCCCACATACAAACACACTGCCTCAGTGCATAAATATGGCCCCACATACAAACACACTGCCTCAGTGCATAAATACAGCCCCACATACAAACACACTACCTCAGTGTATAAATATAGCCCCACATACAAACACACTACCTCAGTGCATTAATATAGCCCCATATACAAACACACTGCCTCAGTGCATAAATATAGCCCCACATACAAACACACTGCCTCAGTGCATAAATACAGCCCCACATACAAACACACTGCCTCAGTGCATGAATACAGCCCCACATACAAACCCACTGTGTCACTGCATAAATACACCCCAGCAAAACAACACAATGCCTCATTGTATGAAAACACCATCACATTCACACACAATCACTCCATGCAAATACACCTCCTCATTCAAACACCGCATAGATGCACCCTCAGATTCAAACTCACTGCTTCACTGCATAAATACACCCTACTCTAAGTGCTTAACTGTATAAATACACCCAGCATACAAACACACTGCCTCTCTGCATAAATACACCCCACTAGAACAAACACATTGACTTATTCTATGAATACACCCTCACATTCAAACACGGTCACCCTGGACAAATACACCTCCACATTCACCCACTGCATACATACACCGTTACACCTAAACACAGCTACATGGCATAAATACCCTTACATTTACATAAAGCCACTCTACACAATACACCAACTTTAATAGATTTTAAAAATTTAAAATAATGTATGTGTTTGGGTATTTCTTTAACACTGGTGTAAATTAATGCCTGGACCATATATAATGGCCTTGAGTCAGATTTTTCCCAGGAACTCAGAATACTGTTGAGTGAATGAACACCTTTTTTGAGATGTTAGGTCAAAATGGCATTGTCACCGTCTGGGGAAGTTGCATAATTTGCAGAGGCCCCTGATGGTGACATTGCTTCTAGGGATCCAGAGTTTGGGGGAAGGTGGATATTGGCAAGGTACATTTAACGTTCCTGAATCTGTCATCACAGGCACCACCAACTTCTTCCAGCATCTCCTCTTCTGCTCCTGGCTTTTCAGCTCCAGAAGCCAATGTAACAGTTGTGTCCTTGCTGAGTATAGCTTTGAGGTCTATGGAGAATCCTCCACAAGATTTTATTATGAAATAATAATTTTGTATTGGGGAGTAAGGACATGTGCCTCATTAATATAGTTTTATTTCTTGAAAATTTTCATGGCTGATTTTGAAATGTTATGGATCATTATCTTTGAATATTCAACCCCTTTTTCAGCTAATGTGGGACATTAGCGTTCAGGATTTGATGATATTCAGGAAAATTGTATCTCCCCTATACCCTTATAATAGTTTCTGTGCCACTGGATAGTATATATATTTAACATCATGCTTAATGGTTGGTAAGGTAATTTTTCTTTTTAACGGTTCATATTTTTTATCTAAACAATACTTTGATAATTATAGTTAAAACCTAATTGTTTATTTCATCAAACTGGTTAAAAATGTCTCTGGTTTATTTATCTATTATTTTGAATACTTTAAATGTTTTTAATGATATCTCAGGTTAGGTTTCTTTCTGCTTATCCATCTATGCAAATTATATTTGTGCAACCATTGTTACCCATTGTACCAGTGCACAACTACTCTATTGTCAGCGAAATCCTCCTATAGGTCTTTTGCAATAAGAAAGTTGTTGTTTGCTTTTTGGCCAGTGTACAAGCAATTCTATTAGAGATATTTGTTGGTCTTCCAGATCTTGCTTTGACTTTATATTTAAATTATTATAGATAATGTAAACATTCTAAATTTGTCAACCGACCTAGAAGTACTACAACTTAATTTCTGCAAATTCAAGGACAAACTCCTGCTTTACATTTTCCCGCCTTTATGAACGTTTTTCGGATGCGCGCGCCATTTTATTTCCGCCGACATTTTGTTTCGGCAATCCATGGATGCGGATCGCGGAGCGTGTTTGGAGGCACTGGAAAAGGAATTTGAGGCCAAGAGAGTGAGCAGGAGTGAAAGGTAAGTTTAAAATCTTTATAATTAGCTTTGTCTTTATATCCAATTTAAGTATTTTTCTGTTTAGAACAGGATGTAACAGAATCTGGTACATTTACTGAATGGATGGCACAGTGTACAATACATGAGTGATAGTATGTGATGTACTGTACTATAATTGTATTAACACCTGCATAGAATTTTGATAGTTTATGAAAAAACTGTAAAGGTACAGATCTGGAATAATGCTGCTTTGAAAACGAACATTTATGGTGTTGTTTTTTGTTTGTGCAATGACAAATACATAATATATATACGTTATTTCATTTTAATGTACCTGTATGCTTTTTCTAATTGTATGGTTTTTGTGTGTGTGCCTGAGATTGATGTGAGTGTGCTTAGGAGAGTGAACAGGAGTGAAAGGTAAGGTAAAAAACATGTTTGTGTGTGTGTGCCTGAGATTGATGTGAGCGTACTTGGGACTTCTTGCATTTTCCCTAATCCCCCCCCCCCGCCCCTTCCTGTAGACAGACAAATAAAAGTTGTGAAATGTAAGTCAGGTGTCTGTAATTTCAGCTGTTTATCCATATGAAGTGTGTGTGTGACATTGTGCCATATTTTGGCAGGTAGCATAGCAAGGAGCAGGAGGAAAGCTGAAGAGCCTGAAGAAAGGGGAGAAGGAGTAGAGCTTGAAGGCTCTAAAAATGCTGTAAAAAAAAAAAAGAAAAGAAAAGAAGCGCTAAAAAATAAAAGGAGTAGAGATTGAAAAATTAAAGGAGTAAAAAAGTGATAAAGGAGAGGTGCAAGCCTAAAAGTAAGAGAGGAGGTGTGAAATAAAAGAAGGAAAAGGAAAGTGATAAAGGAGAGAGGGACGTTGAGAAAGAAGAAGGAGGAAGGATTAAGAGAGGTGTGAAATTAAAGAAGGAAAAGGAAAGTGATGAAGGAGAGAGGGACGTTGAGAAAGGAGGAAGGCTTAAGAGAGGTGTGAAATGAAAGAAGGAAAAAGAAAGTGATAAAGGAAAGAGGGACGTTGAGAAAGAAGAAAATGAAGGAGGACTCATAATGCCACCAAAAAGAAAGAAGGTTACAGTTGGTGCTTGTAATGAAAATATAGAGATGAAAAGCCATAACATTAGAAACACAAGTGAACATCATAACAGACCATGATGCTGGAAATACCACTAAAGAATTAGCTACCAAATATTCACTTAGTAAATCAACTGTGAGTACAATTTTGAAAGACAGAGAAAAATATTTAAAGGAAGTAAAAAATGTGCAATCCCTGCATTCTACTTGGATACGAACCAAGGAAAATGAAAGCCTTATTCCTCATTAGTGATGTCGCGAACCGTTCGCAAACTTGCCGCGAACGGTTCGCCACGGGGTTCGCGACATCACTATTCCTCATATGGAAAAACTTTTAACAGCATGGATAAGTGATCAAACTGGACAGCTCCATATGCCTGTTACCTATGCTACCATTTGTGCTAAAGCTTTATCACTTTTTGAGATGCTGAAACAAAGAAAAGGAGGCAACGTTAAAGAAACATTTTCTGCAAGCAGTGGGTGGTTTGACCGGTACAAAAAAAGAACTGGTTGGCATAACATAAAAATCCTTGGAGAATCAGCAAGTGCTGATGCAGAAGCAGCTAAATTATTTCCTATTAAGTTGGCAGAAATATTGGAAGAGGGAAATTACTCGCCATCACAGGTTTTCAATGCGGATGAAACCGGTCTCTTTTGGAAGCGCATGCCATCAAGAAGCTACATTGCAAAAGAAGAATCATCAATGCCCGAGTTTTAAACCAGCAAAAGATCAATTCACTTTATTGCTTGGCGGGAATGCAGCTGCAGGCTGTAAGTTAAAACCCATGATGGTGCATCATGCAGAAAACCCTAGGGCACTTAAAGGAATTGTGAAAAGCACACTGCCAGTCATATGGAAAGCCAATAAAAAAGGTTGGGTTACTGCTTCGCTGTTTGAAGATTCGTTCTCACATTATTTTGTACCTGAAGTAAAAAAATATTGTGAAGATAAATCAATACCTTTTCAAGTAATTCTGCTTGTAGATCATGCAGCCGTCATCCACCCTCTCTTCAACATCACCACCCTATTCTTGCCACCAAATACAACTTCAATTTTGCAACCAATGGACCAAGGAGTTATCGCCACATTTAAAGCACTGTACCTTTTAGATGCAATAAAAATTACAGCATATGCCTGGAACAAAATTTCAGAGACAACCATGAAACGTGTTTGGAAAAAGCTCTGCCCGCAGTTGTTTGGTACTAATGTTGAACGGTTTGAAGAACCAGCAGAAATTGTACAGCAGAACACAGAAGCAATAGTTACTCTTGCCAACATACTGGACCTGGATGTCTCTGCAACTGACATAAATTACCTTCTTGAAGCGCACAAGGAAGAACTTACAAATTAAGACCTCTTAGATATGGAAGAACAAGAGGAAGTTGAAGAGGTAGAAGATGTTACAGCACCTGAAACTCCTATTCATTCTTTCACTTTAAAAGGCCTCGAGGAAGCATTTCAACACATGGAAAAGGCAATTAATATTTTTGAGTCACAAGATTCTAACTTTGAGAGAAGTACCAAAGTTGCTAGAGATCTAAGAAATGCCTATGCCTGCTATGAGGAAATTTACAATGAAAAGAAAAGAATGTGTTGGAAGCAAACCACTATCACTGCTTGTCTACAGAAAGCTGCTGTGACTAGCTCTGTCTCAAACGAACCAGAAACAAGTGAGGTGCAGCCTTCAACAAGTACCAAACAGCTGAGGGAGGACTGTGTGGTGCCCCATTCATCAAGTGCAACATGTCTCTTCATTGAGGAGGATGATGATGATTGAGGATGATTTGATGAAGAATTCAATATGGTATGTATTTCTTTAATGTTCCTACAACATATATGTATTTGTTATGCCTATATTTTGTATTTGTACTTAATAATTTAGTTTTTCTATAGTAAAATTTCTTGGTCAGGAATGGGACCTATGCTTATTAGATTGCGGTCTATGGGAAATTAGTTCTAACTTTATGAACTAGGCTTCGGAACCAATTAGTTTGTAAAGTCGTGAACTACATGTATACAAATATACATATGCAACCAGGTAGTATAATAGATTTAACATTATATATATATATATATATATATATATATATAATGGTCACGAAGGAGAGCTCTCACTGAACTTTTCAACCAAGTTCAAATGTTTATTGTAATTATAGTCCTATCATGATGAAAGTCTTTGATAGACTGCAACATTGATGTCATCTGACTGTATTCACAATAAACATTTGAACTTGGTTGAAAAGTTCAGTGAGAGCTCTCCTTCGTGATATATATATATATTATGCCTAGCAATAGTTATCTGGTGCACTCTGGAAATGTTTTTTTGTTTTTTTTTTAAGTTTTTATATACACGTATTAATGAGAGAGGCATAATATAAGGGTCACATACTCTTCTTATGGGAGGCAAAGTTAGTCATTGCACTGGACAATTATCAATCACAGTAGAAGCAATACAATTTACGAGTGAGAAATAACCACACACTGTTATTGCTCATGAACACAAAAAGAAATATCCTACTTTATTTTCTCAGATTAAATTATTGGCAACTGAATGCATGCATATAGGATTTCCCTCGCTGCATCTTCTTTTAAAGTAATAGGTTAGGAAAGATGTCCAGGGCAAGATAAATGATCACCCTTAGATGGCTTTCCTTTAACTTGCTTAACTTTATTGTGCTGTTCACAGATTGCTATTACACTATATTTTCTTCATATGTTTTTCTTACCTGTATAACAAGATACTCTCTTCAATCTTGCAATTCCATCCTGATTGGGGAAGTGCAGCATTTTGCCCTGCTTGTATTGATTATTGAATATAGGGATGCATGCATGAATATGGCCACACATAGTGACACAGATACACACTAACTCACTTCCCTGGGTAGCAGTTTTCTGCTTAGGTACGTGACAGGGTGTTCTCCTCCATCTTCCCCGATCTGGCTTAAAACTGCCCTCAGTCCGTACATGGAGGCATCTGTGTGGACGACAAATCTTTTGTTAGGGACTGGGGCAGATAGCACGGGGGCATTGATCAATGCGTTCTTTAATGTCTTAAAGGCTGTTTCACAGGCGGGAGACCACAGGACTATCCTAGGTAGATTCTTTTTGGTCAAATCTGTTAAAGGCTTGGCAATACTACTATAGTCTGGGACAAATTTCCTGTAGTACCCTGCCGTCCCTAGGAAAGCCAGTACCTGGGTATTGGTGTGGGGTGTGGGCCAATTAGCCACGGCCTCAACTTTGGCTGGCTCCGGCCGTTGCTTCTCACATCCCACCCTGTGTCCCAGGTACTGTACTTCGGCCATGCCAAAATGACATTTTTCTGGCTTCAGCGTGAGGCCTGTGGCCCTAATCTGATCCACTACGGCCCCCACATGTTGGAGGTGTTCTCCCCAAGTTTCTCTGTAGATTGCAATGTCATCCAGGTACGCACAAGCGAAATCCTGTAAGCCATCAAGGAGTCTGTCCACCAAGCGCTGAAAGGTAGCGGGAGCGTTCTTCATCCTGAATGGCATGACCTTGAATTGATACAAATCAAATGGGGTAATGAAGGCCGACTTGAGGACAGCCTCCTTGGCTAGGGGGATCTGCCAATACCCTTTGCACAGATCAATGGTAGTCAGGTATCTCCCCCTAGCAATGCGATCTAGAAGCTCGTCTACTCGGGGCATGGGATACGCATCGGTCACTGTTCGATCATTAAGGCGTCTATAATCGACGCAGAACCTGGTAGTCCCATCCTTTTTGGGTACCAGTACTACGGGTGAGGCCCACGGGCTGTCTGAAGGTTCTATGACTCCTAACTTGAGCATCTCTTGGGTCTCTTTCCTCATCTCTTCTTTAACTGCCTCCGGGATCCTGTAGGGGGTCTAAGTGGAGTCTGCCCTGGGGTTTCTACGTAATGGGTAGCTAACGTAGTGTATCCCGGCTCTTGGGAAAATGTCAGTCGCTTCTCGGTCAACAGCTGTCTGATCTGTCCCTTTTCTGCCGGGTTCAAACGCTCCCCTAGTTGGATAGTACCGAGGATATTATTTGGTTCAGGACCTGCTAACAAGTCGGAGATAGGTAGCCCGTCTGAGTCATCTGCACTCGGACTGCAGATGGCTGCAATATCCTCGGCCCTTTCCTGATATTCCTTTAGCAGATTCACGTGGAAGGATTTCCGAATCCGGTCATCCTTGTTACTGGCTATTACGTAAGTGGTATCACATACTTGAGCTACCACCTTGTAAGGGCCCTGCCATGAGGTCTGGAGCTTGTTCCCTTTTACTGGTCTGAGGACTAGAACTTTCTGTCCCACCTGGAAGGTTCTCTGGCAGGCACCCCTATCATACCACCTCTTCTGTCGACCCTGGGCCGCCTGGAGATGGTCTCTAGCCATCCGAGCTAACTGCTCCATGTGGTCCCGCATCTCCAGAACATATGGCACAATAGGGACCCCCTCATGTTCCATCTCTCCTTCCCAGTGCTCTCGGATGAGGTCGAGGGGGCCTTGAACTTGTCTTCCATAGAGCAGCTCGAACGGAGAGAACCCAGTGGATTCCTGCGGTACCTATCGGTAGGCAAACAAGAGGTGCGGTAAGAATCGCTCCCAGTCTCTGTATTCCGCTGTAAAGGTCCGCAGTAATTGTTTCAGGGTACCATTAAAGCGTTCACAGAGCCCGTTAGTCTGGGGGTGGTACGGTGAGCTGAAGAGGGTCTTGATACCACAGACCTTCCATAACTGTTGGGTCAGATCTGCGGTAAATTGTGTCCCTCGATCAGACAAGATCTCTTGAGGAATACCCACTCTGGTGAAGATCCCGACCAAAGCACTGGCAACAGTGTCGGCCTGGATATTCGTCAGAGCGACAGCTTCCGGGTAGCGGGTATCGTAGTCCACTACGGTAAGAATATATTTCTTACCGGAGGGACTGGGGTTCGGTAAGGGCCCCACCAGATCGACTGCCACCCTGCTAAATGGTTCCTCGATTACGGGCATGGGTAACAGTCTTGCTTTCGGGTGGTCCCCTCGGTTCCCCACTCGTTGACATACGTCACATGTACTAAGTAGCGCCGCACATCTTTAAAGATTCCTGGCCAAAAGAAGGTCTGGGTAATCCTGTAAGTAGTGCGGTTACCTCCTAAATGTCCTGCCAAGGGAATATCGTGTCCAATTCGCAGAAGTTCCAACCGGTACTTCCTGGGTACCACTAGTTGGCGCTTCTGCGATGGAATACCGCCCTTCTTTTTCCCTTCCGTCAGTCTATACAGTCGGTCATTATCCCAGATAAAACGTTCCTTCTCATCCCCCCCACTATCTGCAAGTTCCCTGTATTTTTGGAGTGTAGGATCTGCCCGTGTCTCCCTCCCAAATGCTTCGGGGGTGTCCCAAGCTAGGGGTCTCTCTATGGGGTCTGGCCTTTGTGTCGGTTCTTGGCTTACCTGGGTCTCCCGTCCTGGTGCAGGGTCGTCTGTAGCATAAGCCTGGGAACGTGTGGTCACTGGGCAAGCGGCAGCAGTTGTAGGTAGATAGGCTGATGCAAGAGGGAAAATGTCATTGCCCAATACGACTTCAGCGGGTAAATTGTCCATGATGCCCACAGTGGTCTTCCCAGACCGGACTCCCCAATCCAGGTGTACCCGAGCAGTGGGTAAACGAAAAACAGCTCCTCTGGCAACTCGTACAGCCACAGTGCGGTTGGACAAATGTTCGGGTTTTACCAGATGTCTCTGCATTAAGGTAATGGTTGCACCAGTGTTTCTCAATCCTTGCGCCACCTGCCCGTTCACCCTCACCTCTTGTCGGTGATGTTGCTGATTATCTGGTGATGCGGCTTGTATCGGGTCCGCCTCATACAAGATACCCAGGCATTCCTCTGGGCCCACCTCGGTCTCCAGGCAATGGGCGGCCGAGGTACGTGGGGTAGAAATGGGAGTGCGAGGGGAGGCGGTCTCTGTGGGTGGTGAGGGTCATCGCCAATTGTTGGCTGCCGACCCCAGGGGGCAGTGGCGGGCAAGGTGTCCTAGGTTGTTGACATCCGCCATCTGGGATACATCTCGTGTGCAGCTGGTGGACCCCTGCAGGCGAGGGGGCCCTGGAGGTACGGGAGCACGGAACTCCGGATGAAAATTACTGGCTGGGGTACGTGGTTCCAACCTGTTCGTTGGGCGGTGAGAGCCTTGACTAACCCTCCTTGTTTCGGCATACTCGTCCGCTAGCCGAGCCGCCTCCTTCAGGTTGCTGGGTCGTCGATCCCTCACCCAGTCTTGTAGATCGGCTGCCAAATCCTGGAAGAAGTGTTCCATTAAGAACAATTGTAGGACTTCCTACCCTGTACTGGCATTACATCCTTGGACCCAGTGGGAGGCCACTCGCTGTAGACGGTTGGCCCATTCCATGTGAGAGTCCACGGCCTTCTTTTTAGACTCACAAAATCGGCGGCGGTATGCCTCCGGCGTCACAGCATAACGGGCCAACAGTGCCTTTTTGACCTGCTGGTATTGTAGTATATCCTCTGCGGTGAGGGCCCGAAATGCCTCGTTAGCTTTGCCTGACAGCTTCCCAGCTAAAATAGTAACCCATTGTTCAGGGGGCACCTGGTGTAAGGAGCACTGCCTCTCAAAATCGGCCAAATATCCGTCGATTTCCTCTTCATTCTCTACAAACGCCTTGAACACAGAAAAGGGCACCTTCTTTGGGGTGGTAGGTGGAGGGGAAGCAGGAACTGTATGTGTAATGGGCTGCTGGGCTCTTACCAGTTCAATTTTGTGCCCCCTCCTCTCCCGGATATCTGCTTTGGCATCGAGGAACATCCGCTCAATCAGCTCCACTGATGTCTCTGGATAGAAGGCCAGTCTCCTCTGTACGATGCGGGCGACCTCGTCCTCCTCGCTGTCTGGCCTCTGGGTCTCTGTTACGTCCATGGACCAATCCATCTCGTCCAGCTCTAGTAGGTCTGCGATCAGCTCCCTCCGTGGTCTGTTACTGGCACTCCTTCCTCTGTTCTCCAGTAGATCCTTTAGGGTAGGCCTCTTCAATTTGGAGTAGTGAGACTCCATCCAGCATCTGGACCATCCCACTGCTGCCACCAATGTAACGGCTACCTTGGTATGGTGAGGGTACTAGCCGTTGGGGACGTCCTTTTCTTATGGCAAGTCGCTGTGTAGTGATGGAGTTGCCTAAAATAATATTTAAAAAAATTAAAATAATAAAAATGCCCTCCCCCACCCAGTTTACACACACACACTACACACACTCTGCATTTACACAAACACACACTGCATTATAAACACACACACACTCTGTAATATACACATAGAGTGTGTGTGTACATAATGCAGAGTGTGTGTTTGTATGAGTGTGTGTATATAATGCAGTGTGTATGTGTATATAATGCAGAGTGTGTGTATCTAATGCACACACTCTGCATAATATACACACACACACACTCATACAAACACACACTCTGCATTATATACACATACTGCATTCATTATATACACACACTGCATTCATCATATACACACTACACAAACACTACATTCATTATATACACACACTGCATTCATTATATACCCACACTACACAAACACACACACACACTGCATTCATTATAAACACACTACACAAACACACACACACTGCATTCATTATATACACACAGTGTAAATAAATATTCGATTAATGGAATTTTATTGGGATCTAATTTTATTTAGAAATTTACCAGTAGATGCTGCATTTCCCACCCTAGGCTTATACTCGAGTTAATACGTTTTCCCAGTTTTTTGTGCTAAAATTAGGGACCTCTGTTTATATTCGGGTCGACTTATACTTGAGTATATACGGTATTTTAGGGAAATATATTTACAGTTTGGAAAATTATGTTTTAGTGTAGGATTTATCATGTAGAGTTGTGGCAAGTTTTTGTCCATGTAGATATTGACAAACATATAACATGGAGTGTAGGCCTAATTTTTTAAACCCTTGTCGCCTATTCTCTGCAACTGTCATTCTATACATAACATAAAACATATATATTTAAAGGAACACTATAGGGTCAGGAACACAAACATGTATTCCTGACCCTATAGTGTTAACACCACCTTCTAGCCCCACTGGGCCCCTAGTGCCTCCATAAATATAGTAAAAATCTTACTGTATTCAAGACAGAAACTGTAACTCTGCATGCTGTTTGCCTATAAAAAAACCCCAAAAAAACAGTCTGCTGACATCACCAGGACTGGTAGCGTGATCCAATCACAGTGCTTCCCCATGGGATTGGCAGAGACTGACAAAGAGGCAGATCAGGGGCAGAGCCAGCATGATTCAAACATAGCCCTGGTCAATCAGCATCTCCTCATAGAGATGAATTGAATCAATGAATCTCTATGAGGAAAGTTCAGTGTCTGCATGCAGAGGAAGGAGACACAGTGCTGCCCTGTGCTCTGCTGACAGCAGATCTGACTGGATTGAGGAGTTTTATGCCTTCATTAACTCGGAAGTCCCTCTGGTGGCATTCTGAGTGACTGCAACTGGAGTTGTTCCTAGATTTCAATGTAAACACTGTATTTTCTCAGAATGAGTGCTTATATGTTTTCTCCATACGATTTGGTCCTATGTACTACATGTATTGATTGTCCAGGTTGTATGTGATTTTCCCCTCCCCCTTTTCCTGTCTTATTGTTCTACCAGCAGGGTGTTGTCCCATTGATCCAGGGACACTTCCAGATTAAAAACAAACTGACTTCCTTGCCACTTGTAATAAACTTGTATGTGGTCTTCAGCTCCTATTATTGTCTGTCCCCTCCTGTGCTGGTAATTACCGGGCTCCATTAACACTGGTTGTAAGTGTTGTAGTGTTATTGATTGCTATATCAAGTTCATACTCGTATTGGTTGGCTTGGGATATGCAGTGTAATTGGTTATGTCTAAAGTCCATACTGCCAATGGGTACCATTGTCACCCTTTTGTAAGTAAATTAGGCTGTTGGGGGTATAAATACTGTTCCTTTTTTAATTAAAGTTGTTGTTCTCCCCTTCACTAAGTATCGTCTAGCGCTTGGGGAGGTGGGCTATAATCCTTACAGCAGCATTTCTTCCAACCTGAGAGGACTTTGGTGGAGATACTCGCTTGGAATATTGGAGATCCTCTACAAGTATTAAGGAAAGAGGTTTTAAGGAAAGAGTTAAGTGTTTCCAGCTGTCTATATTGTCAAATAGCACATTCTCAGCCTAACACATAACTCTCTATATGTTCAATGTGTTCTATTTGTCAGCTCTTCTTAGTCTCAAATTAAAATTTAAACAAAACATGGGAAAAGCACCTCAAGCAAAGATCCATCAACAATCAAGTACTATTCTACTGTACAGCTTTGTATGTGAAAATGATGTATGCATTGCAATACAGCTATGAGATATTCTGATATAACACTAAATAAAACTGGCATCTCACTCATTTTTAAGTATAGATTTATTAGTACTGCAAAATGCACTGGTAAAATCTTTTTACCCACAACTAAAATAAAATGAGAATAATGAACAGGCAAAAATACTGTGGACATCATTCCAAATAAATGAGAATTAGATTTTAAATATACAACTGCATAGCCATGGTGTATTTTTGGCACTCCCTCCACACTCAGCACATAAGTCATATCTAGTCTTCTAGGTAATGAAAGAAATTCACTTTTGCAACATTTCTAGTCTTCTAAAATACTAAAGGCTACTTTTAGCACCATGGTTAATTGTATGCATGTATTGATTTAAGCCCATCCTAAAACAAAAAAATATCATGTCCTAAGTACAACTCTAAACCCTTTTGCAGAAGCGTAACTAGAAACCATGGGGCCCCGGTGTGAAAATTGCCATGCCCCCCCCCCCCTGTACGTTTACCTCCCCCCGCCACCTTCCCCCCATACGACAATTGTCCCCCTCCCATATGTTCCCCCTCCCCTTACACATGCAAACAGATACACATGTAAACACACACACAGAAATACATATACATACAGAGACACACATACATACACACATACATACAAACACACATACACACACATATGAACACATGTGAACACATACAAACACACTCACATACACAGACAAAGGCACATACATACAGACACAGACACACACACACAGACAGACAGAAATTCATACATACAGAAACACAGACAGACATACATACACACATACAGAGATTCATACAGACACACAGACATACACTCATACAGACACACAGACATACATACACACACATACAGACACACTCAGACATATACACACACAGACAGACATATACACACAGACATACACACACATATAGAGACATACACACACACACATACAGACAGACATACACACACATATAGACACACAGACACCGCATAGGACCCACAGTTGCAAGGGTCCGCAGGGCGGTCAGGCCCCCTGGAGTGACAGGCCCCATCGCAGCTGCGACCCCTCGACCGCTGTAGTTCCGCCACAGCCCTTATGTATTCCATAAGTATTACATGAACCTATATTTATGAACACCATACATAATGTATTAACATCAAGCAATGCTGTATTAAAACTTTACATCTGCATATTAAAGAACAGTCCACTGACCAAATACAAAATAAACACAAATCACTCTCTAGTAGATGTACCCCATATGAAAACATTTAATAATGCATTTTTTCCATCGGTGTGTATCTAAAACAGCTTGTAAAACCTGCAGTTCTCTTGTCTGCTGCCTTTGCATGCCCCCCCCATTTCTGTATCTGTCCAATCACATACTTCCCAAATGCAGCTGAATGAGAAGTATTTGCAAGGCAGGAGCTCTGTGCAATTGCCGCTTCTTGAGTTTCGCTCTACTGAGCTAACCAAACCAGGAAGTAACAAGAACTGTTTTATGATCGACTGCCTTGGGGTAGTAACTAAGTTAATTTATAAAACTTTAATTTTTTATTGAAATCTGCACTTATTTCAAAATGAAAAGAAGAGGACACACTCTTTACACATAAATCTTTGAAGCAAGTTAAAGTGCTTTAGGGGTCTGGAAACACTATTTAAAATCCTGCACCTACAGCATTACCCCACACTGTGTTGTTTAATTAACCTCAAATATAATGCATTACAGTGGCCTGGTTGCAAATATATTTTTTTTTTCTCTCTCTCTCTCAACATTACAGGCGTCTCAGCGATAAAAAAGGAAATGATGGCAAAATTAGACCTGGGGTTTTTCAAGGCTTCATGCCCTGTAAGCACCTTGTAATAAAAGGTCTTTGATGAAAGTTGTTATTTATGATTTTGTAGAATTTAAGGTGTCATGTATATTAATTTAATTCTTAAATATTTCTATAGTGCACTTTTAGATTATATAAGATATAATAACATATTAATTAAATTAACACATTGAAGCACATTTTTTTAGGTTTTTAGCACCAAAGTTAAAGGGATACTATAACCATCAACACAACTTTTGCTTAATGAAGTAACATGGATGTATAGGCCATGCCTATGCAGTCTTACTGCTCAATTCTTTGGCATGTAAGAGTTAAAGCACATATTTTTGTCTATGCAGTCCTAGCCACATCTCCTGTGTCTGTGACTCACAATCTGCATGGAAAAATGGCTTTGTTTTCAATCAGATGTTAACTTGCTTTAGAAGTGTTTATCTCCTGCTGTAAATTGAACTTTAATCACACACAGGAGGCTCCTGGAAAGTCTAGCAAGCTAACAGTGCAGAGGGTAAGACATTCTAAATTAAACAGGATGTGCAATAAAATAAATAAAATGAGTTTAAATATTAGATCTCGCTTACCAGAAGTGTTTCGGAAGGCTGTGCAAGTCATATGCAGGAAGGTATGACAAAGGCTGTATAAACAAATTGATTTAACTCCTAAATGGCAGATAATTTAACAACATAGAAAGCTTAACTAAAGATCGTAGGTAGTTCCAGAAAGTCCAAATACAATATTTCCTAGAATATCTGACCTCACCAAAAAGTGAATTGTACATTTTAATTTACTATTTATTTATGGCCCTATGAGCCATAGTTCTAGTCTGGAAACCCCCTCCTTCCCCTGCCATACAAGAGATCATATTTGAAGTTGATAGGAATAGCAACTAAGCATGCTATATATTTAGTCAAATAGCCAATCTCATTAATTGAAGAATGGAAAAATTGGAATATGAGGGCTCAGTCATGAAACACCCAGAGGCAACCGTGAGACACCCACAGGCTTAAATATTTATATCTAAACACCTTGGAGGACTGTATACAATATATAGCATATAAAGAATTACACTATGAAAGTGAATTATTCACTACACAGCAGGGTTATATATACACTATATACCATGTCCTCCTTGATATTATGTGCTTGTCAGTGATAATGGTTTTCTCATGTCTTATAGAGAAACTATAGTGCTAGGAATACAAAGTTGTATTCCTAGCACTACAGTACTAG